GGTGGGTGGGGTGGGGGTGGGGGTTGCTTTCTTTTGAGTCATTTTACCAGCGGTCCATATAGCAATACATGTACCTATTAATTGCTCTTAGTACCTATGCCAGATGAGAGAGGCTTCATCTTTTTTTTTCGTATAATTGGCTTATGTACATTATTCTACCTAGGATATGATCATGGAAGATTTCAATTTCTAGAACACCCATGGAAGGTATATACATGCAGGTTTTCTAGAACTGAGCAGAAAGCTTTTCAGCAAGCAATATTCTTTATTTGCAAAATTTTACCTTTTGAACGTTGTTTGAATATTATGTTGCATACAATATTGTGAGGCCTGCACAACAGATACCATGCAGCTAATTAGGAAGCTGAAGATTAATTACAGATTGATGGTTGAGAGTTTAGAACTTACTCTGTTTTCATCCTTTCTGCTGCAGGCGTTACACCACAAAATTGTCATGTGAGCTGTAAATGATGCTTGAAATATTAAGTGCACAAAGACCAGGGTACTGCTCCCTGTTTCTTTTTTTTTTCCCTCTTGTCTTTTTTTAACTGTTGTGAAATGTGGACGATATTAGTCGTAACAGTCTGCGTTGAAACTTCTTCTACATAGTATAGCTGGCTTAGGCCCAGTGCACTGCTTCTGCTTCATTTGTGTGTAATAAATAAAATTGCATCCATGTTTTGAATTATATTAAGGTCCTCACTAACACGAAGTTAAAAGGAGAGGAAGACATATTTAGATGTAGCTGTCAGAACTCCGAAGATATATATATATAAAAATATAATGTACGAAGTATGCCAGAAGCTGTAGTCTGAGGCTTGCTCTTTCAAACACCTCAACTCCTTTCATTACACAGTGAATTTCCAGTTGTGCTGCACTGAGTTTCTTTGTTTTCCAAGTTCTTAGAGAAGATTCTCCCTGCTAATTGGAGAAGGGTCTGAAGCTGAAATAGGACAAAAAAGCTACAAGACTAGCTCAGGGTCTCAAAAATGTCTTATAATGAGGGATTTAAAATTTATTTAGTTTTGCTAACTAAAGTTGAAAGATAATTTGCTTGTACTATATAAATATATAGTGTACTGTACAAATGTGTAGGTGAGGGAAGATCAGAAGGCACTTTTTTGTAAGCAAAGGATTCATAAATGGATCCAAGGGATCAATAAATGGATCTTTTAAAAAAAAGAGTGGGTATAAATCTAAAAGATGTTCTGCAGATTAAACAGAACCTGGAGGTTTGCAGAAATAAGGGTTTGTAGCTTGCTTTGCAACAGATCAAATGAAAGTGCTCACACTCAGGTGAGTCAGTTACTGCAGTTAGCATGTCGCAGCTCACTAGCTGATTTTTTCATCTCTGAGACTGTTGCAGTTGTGATGCTTTGTGGTAGGTGGGGCCTTATTGTGATTCAGGCTAATACACTTTAGATTGTGGCTGCAGAGGAACGTACAAATAGCTGTTGCTGTAGTTCAGCTGAGTAGCTGCAACATGATAAGCTGTGGTATCTTGACTGTTAAGCCAAGGTCCCAGAGGCCTTTAGGGCTATAATATACTTTGGGGAAATGCCACATTCTGTGGACTGCAACGTTGTCATTTTGCGGTTGATGTTAAATAACCATGTGCAGGCACTTGTGGTTTTATCTCTTCAGGGAAGGTAATGAGCAGTGACCAAAGACAGGAGGGATTTGTTTCTGGACTGAGATCCACTGTAAACCTCCATAGCAGACAGTAAGAGTGCTTTTGTTTCAAGCATTTTTTTCCAGGAAAAAAAAATCTCCCTGGAAAGAAGCTATGATACCTGCAATTGTTTTATAAAATAAGTTTGTTTAGGCTCCATTTTGTAATGGAAAAACTAAGTCCAAGAGATAGAGAGTTACTTTCCCAGACTTACTCAATAGCAGAAGCAGCATTCACACTCAGTTCTCCATCCACAGCACAACTGTCTCTTGCTGGATAACAGAACATATCCCCTCAGCTGAGCATCAAGTTAATTGAACAAAACATAGCTAGCATATAATCTTAATAAATATTTTGATGGCTTGTGTTCTGCTGTTGGAGGTGATACAGCATGCTACGGGAAACTCAGGGAGGTGCCAGCGTTTCTTTTAAGGAAATTTAAGCATTTTATTTTCTGAATTTTCTGCAAAACCTGTAACAGTACTGCTACATATGCCATAGTAAGAGCAAAAGTAGGTTTTCAATATAATACTGTTTTGTTGGATGAATGAACTCAGTCCTATCTTGGGCAAAGAATTTGTTAATGATAGCTTAGGTCCGTCCCAGCTCTATTATTATCTTTATAAGTTCAAGGAAATAATCTCATTGTTTACCTAACTCATTTCTTTCAAGACTGCTACAGCAATATTTTCCTTTCAAAATTAGTGTGTTTACAGTTATAAGGAGGGCTTGGGGTATGGGTTTCCAAAGAAACAAGAGGTACTGTCTTCATTAGCTTCCTAGTTTCAGGTTCATTCAGTTGCCTCTGGCTTTCTTTAGTCAGCTGACAGTCTAATTCCAAACATGTCCTTAAGAAGTCATGAATTAATGGCAATTCAAAAAGAAGCTGGAGGCTAGGTAATGATTACAGCCCTGGTCTTGAGAACAGTTACAAACAGGCATTATTTTACTGCCTGACTAGTCCTGTTGCTTTTAGTAGGCCTGCTCCCAGGAGGATTGCAGGGTGGTTCATCAGGGGCTGTGGTGTTCAAGTAAGCACACTTGCCATTTATTCCACCCCTTCCCAAAAATGGCTTTCAGGGTTTAGGCATTTCAGCAGAGTAGTATATGAAGATGCAAGGGTCACGCAGACTTTATGTGTCATTGATAAATATGAATTTTAGACTCCAGTATTATCGGTTTGCCATGTTTCACCATAATTTAAAATCTCTTTAACAGACAAAACAAGGTCATTAGAGGGAAGAGGACTAGGACTATTTGACTGGTTTTTATGTTTTAATGTTCGGGGTGGGGTGAGTTGTATTGTGTTATGTTTACTATTCCAAATGGCAGCTGTCAGTTTTCATGCCTTTTGTGTAAGACATCTCCTTGCCGTAGTAAGCAATATAGGTGAAATAAAGTTTAGATGCTTCTTGGGGAACTTTTATGTTCAGTTTTGTAGGGCCACTTTTCTTCTCTCTTCTGAATGAAAACTTTCTATTATGTTGAAAAGATTCTGACTTTAATATTGCAATTTTTTAAAATTTTCTTTTGACATTTATCTGGAGCATATTTAAAAATAGCCTTCTAAGGACTGGTTATTTTGTTGGTGCTAGTCTGTCAAAGTTAGCAGTCATTTGCTAATAACTTTCAGTAGGGAAACTGAAAGTATGCAATATTTACTTGAACTTCTTCCTATGTAATTAATATTGCCCCTTTTTCCTCAGGAGATTTTTGTTTCAACTATTAAGCTGTTTTTCAGTTTACCTACTGGCACATAATTTGGAAGCCTGAGTAACCTTTGTTTAAAAAAAGATTGTGAGGGATAGTATTTATTTTCTTGGGTTACAATTGTATTTAACCTCTTTCAAAAGAGTCCTTGGTAAAGTGTTATCTGTCTGAAAAGAGAGAGATGGAAAGTGCACCTGCCCTTGGAGTATATTCATGAGAAAAGGTTGTGAATCCACACCTGTTAGTGTTTATTGTAGGCTTCACTTAGTGTTCTAGCATGCTGCCACCTTAGTGTGTGACCCGGGATCACGCCATCAAATGCAGTGTAATACAGTTTTATTGTTTGGTCTAGCCCTTGAGGTTAATGCTTAGTCCTTATCCCGTATAATTTATGCTTTCTGATTTTTAATGGTAAAGGAATATTCATTTTCATAAAAGACAATTCAAGTAGTGACACGTTCTTCTTGTCCAGAAATGTTGCTGCTCTGCCAACCTGATGCAATATTAATGGAAAAAGGCAACAGGATAATCTATTATTTGCATGCAGCTCTAAATCTGCGTGACACTTTACCAAAACGGATCTGACAAAGAACAAAGAGTCTGCCTTAAAGAACTTAAGATCTAAAAAGCTCTAGTCAGGTTTAACAAGTGTCTTTTGCTCGTTATTGCCAATAGGTTTCAAGAGAGAAAAAAATTCAAAGAGGGGAGAGTGTACAGTAATTAGAGGTGTACTAAATATGATGAAATTAGTCTGGATAAAAGTATTAAAGCTGGCAGTTTGGAGAGAAGGTTATGTACAAGTAAGACATATTAATTCATGATCATCAGAAAGCATCAGACATATGAATAGACCACTAATTATTGGGATTAAGGTAGAAACATGGAACAAAATAGTGAACTTTGATTTGTCTAATTTATGGATTCTGTCTTCTGTTCACTTCTTTTGGAAGACTAACTCTGAATTGCTCTACAGCACACTCAGTTTTACTACACATAACTTTGTGATTCTTTGTGAATTCAAACACAATCCGCTCTGCATTTTCATTATTTCCTGTCTATTCTTTAACTACCTATTAAAAAAAAAAAATCCAATCCATGATTTTTCCCCAGGAGAGCAAACATAGAACTTGTGATGAACAGTAGTCACAGACAACATTTATACTGTGCGTGCAATAATGGAAGCAGTGGGGGTTTTTAGACAGAAAGAACAACATAGATCCACACAAACTGCATAAAATAAAGCAGCAATATGGGCTACGTAAGTTCCATCAGAGGTCTTAAAACTAATGTGTTGTCCTGTACTCTTAGAACTCCACAGTATTGTAACTCAATGGGGAATTCATTCCAATGAAGCCTTTAAAGAGGTCCTCAAATGTAAAAGTCATGAGGGAAACATCTCGGTTGTTTGTAACAGAATGAAGAGCATTGCAGTTTTAAGAAACCTTGCATCCCGCATTAAGTGCATGAAAGTTCTGGTGGATGTTGATGGATTACCTGAGAAGATTTGTACTACGGACTTCGTCGCTGTACCACTGCTATGATTCGTGATCAGTCATTCAAAAATGAGATATGATTGCACATCGTATTGAAGAAGGATGCCGGAGCACAACTTATCACAATGTTGTGTGGTATTCCTTACCCAGTAAAGCCCAAATTTACTGAACTTCATACAGCAAGAATGAGACAGAGTTCTCCCTGTGTTTGTGTGTGCACTTCAAATAGAAATTAATGTGATTAGTTTAGCCTTTTCCACCCACCTCTGAATGTCAACTTCCTTAAATTGAATAGTATCATAATTGTCAAATTTTTTATCTGCTTACATTTTTCAGTACAGCAACAAAAGTCCCTAAATTTCCTGGGAGAGAGAGGGACTATAGCTGTTTTCAAAGCCCAGATATCCCTCTGTAATATCATTTTTAGAGTTCATTTTGGTTAACACATTCATTTCCTCTTAGAAAAGCAAACAAACAGGAATAAAGCAAACAGGAAACTCCTCCCATCTTGTGACTGGGAGGTGATGATCATGCAGTTTGTCTTTATTCATCTAATCCTCTGCTAGTAAGGCTATTTAAGTGACCGTTCTTTACCAGGGAGAGCTGTTACTTCTGTGTGCTAAGTGCCAACATTTCTTCTAAGGCCAAGCACCTCATGTTTTCAGAAGAGCTCTATTGTCTGCCCTTAACTGTCATCACTCTTTAGTTTAGTAAACGGATTGGTGTAACAGTTACTACCCTAAGGATTGCACTTTCTTCCTAATGTTTCCCTTTCATCCAGTCTTCTCTTGGGAGCTTTCCCTGCGTTGTACTGATACTGTTCCAAGGGGAGTCCATATAGTTAGAGCAGACCAGCTTGCTTAGAGCAGAGGGGTTTTTACAGTCTCTGGCCTTTACACCTTGCACACAGGTAGGCAACACCAGGCCACACAGCCTACAATAATTGGGTAATGTGATGGGGAGTGAAGACCCTCCCCATGGAAATATATCGCACTACACTCGAAGTCAAGCAGCTGGTTCTTACTGAAATGCTTGTTACTCTGGGGGGCTGAGCCCAAGAGCTTGGCTGTAGCAGGTGGGAGAGATGATGAGAGACTGCAACACTCAAGGAAGCCATTCTCCTGCACGTGGATTCTTGGTATGTTGGTATGTCATACTCTTATATGGTAGCAAAGAAAGTGCAGGAAGGTGCCAGTAGAAAGGAAGCCAAAAGAGAGGAAATCTCAGCTGCTAAGAGACACTGCTTTCAGTAAAATTGTTGTTGAAAATAATCTTTAGGTATAGTTAAATGTTAAAAGTGATATTTTTATCCTTAAATCTTGATATCCATACTTAACTGAAAAGAAAGTTTGCTGTGATAAGTAGCAGTCCTTTAGACAATCAAGTTCACTACTGGTGCAAGTGATGTATCTCCATTGACTTTGACAAAATTTTAGCTACTCGTGATGATAAGAAATTTAGCCTTTACTATTTAAAAGTTCAATAACAAAATGGTAAATGGTATGGGTAACTTTAATTTTATATTTGAAAAGTGAGAAGTTGATAATAATGATTTTCCCACAGTTGACAGCAATTGAAACTGGACTCGGATGAAATCACATTCCCAGACATACTGTTGTCAAGCCTAAGGCCTGGATTTAGAGACACAGTAAGGGTGAAAATGTGCAAGCTATGTGAGGGTGCCAGAGTGGAGTTTCAATTTTTATGAATTCTTGACCAAAGGGAGAGAACATGAAATATGTGAGAGCAGTGACAGGAAGAATATTTCTGTCTAAGGGAAAGATCAGTGACCACTAGCAGAGTGAGGAGTTATGGCACAATTGTAATTAAAAGCTGAAGAAAGAGTAAACAGTCATAAAATTCAGCTTTCTATTTAGCCTGGGCAAGTTTGAATCCCAAAAGAGGGAAGTTAAAGACACGGGATGTCAGAGAAGTAGAATGAAATAAAACAGAGGGCAAATAGTTTAAAACTTTTTATAACAACACATAACTAACCTGTGGAAACCCTTTCAGAAAATATGGTGATTAGAAAGCTTGGTAAGAACAACAGCAGTAAACGTGTATTAACATGTGTCCAGTTCAAAGCTTAGAAAATAAAAATTTAGCTGGAAAGCTTTGGGCTTTCAGTCATAAGGTAGCCTGTCACTGACAGGGCATTTCCCTTAAGGACTGATTATTACCTATTTATTACTCTGTTAGTCATTATTACAAGGTCTGATTTAGCTTGTTGAAATGGAAGAGTTGGACCTTATGCTGCCAGTCCAGTCCAGTCAGGCAATTCCCCTATTGGCTAAGTTGGCACAGAAAACAGAATTTCAAAAAACAATTTCTCTCTGGACTGCAGGCACAGACTATGTCTACTTCACAACCTTTGCTTCCTTATTCATTCAGTTTTGGACAGACACCAAAAGATTTCTGGAACTTTTTGTTGTAAGGAAATGATAGGCATAACCCTACAAAGCGTGCTGTGGTTGCTTAGTATCTCATTAGCCTGTTCGACTTGGAAGGAATCATTAGAACAAAACCATACTGTCCTCTGTAAGGAATGGGGAAATGACAGAGGGATGTATGCTACCGCGCTGATGAGTCTTGTCTGTGACATGTGACATTGACTGGCACAGAGCTGCTGGCGTACTTCTGGGAATACCAGCAGCAGAAGCTACATCCGTTAAGCACCCAAGTATTTCTGCATGAATGAGTGCAAACTATTGAACTCAGATGTGAAATGGTTTCAGAGAAGTTGTGTGGCTACATTATTATGGCACTTAACCCCAGCTGCTGTTTTCAGTGAAGCTTTTTGTTGGGTAACCTGGCTGCATGACTTCTGGACTAGAATTAGATGCCTTCCAGCATTTCGGGAGAGGAAGCAGTGCAAACATGGTACCGTACTGCTTGTGTGGATCTGTCCCCAGTGTTCACAACTGTTCAGGGCTTGGACATAAACAGAAATTTGTGTACAATCCCCTTGAAAATACCCTGTTGTGTGTAACAGCCACTGTTAGTCTGTTAGCTTTTTCAGGAAGTCAGTGAAGCCAGATAAATCTGTTGAAACTTGAATCCAGTGTGGACTGAGGAAATTTGCCTCTTCGTCGACCTGAGTGGTTATTTGTTGTTTTGAAATGTCTTTTTCTCTCTTTGCCAGATTGCGATCTAGTGATGTGGACCAGGGGGAATTTTAGGCTAAAATAAGAATCCAGGATCTCTTTGAAAGTCAAATGTAATATTAACATCATATAGCTGTGGATAATTATTTTAAATGGTTAAAATCTTTTCTTGACGCAAAGCATATTTAATTATTGCTCCCAGAGCCCTCAAGAAGCAGTATGCAAGGAGAATACCAATACTTGCAATCTGCCAGAAAAAACCTGTACTTTCAGAGTATTGGACAAAATCCTCAGATAGGATTCAATATGTTGTTTTGTAGTCTCTAAGAGAAGTCTAAAAGAGGAGATGATATTAGGCTGGTCACATGTAAAAAGAGTACAGAGAAAGCCTGCCAGGTGCAGCTATTTAATTTGGCCCTTTATAACAGAACATGAGGACACTCAAAGATAACAAGCTGTTTAAAAATTGAACTGTGGTAGCTTTTAAACACGATGAATCATCTAGAGAAGGTTTGTTATAGTTTCCAATTAGCCTTGTCCTTTAGTAATAAAAAAGAGGACACTTAAAGCTAAACAAAATTGTTGAATCAGGAAAGTAAGAAAATAGATTACCTAAAGAACATTTAATCAATTCGCGGCAATCGCATGTCTACAGGCTATTATTGAAACAAATAGCTTAGTAATTCTTTAGAAAGATGTCAGTGTGAGAATAGTGAAAGTACTTAAATTAATTGAGATTATGGGAAAAATCTAATTTTGTTAAAAACAAACTGTATTATGCAGTTATTTGTGCTGCAAAAGTAGATTATATTTTCCTCTCAGACATCAGCAATAAATACTATTGGAAGCAGGATGTTGGATCAGACAAGGAAGAGAGGTGCTGATAACTTTCTTTTGCCCTTTCCTGAGCAGTTTCTAACTGGGCTTGCTCCAAAGCTTGTTTATAGTTCTGAGGTTGAATCAGACCCTTTATAGGCCCTCACTGGCTTCACTTCTGCTTGAGGAGATCTTACCAACGTCTGAAGCCATCTGCTTGGACCAAAAAGTCCACCTCTAAAAGCAAGTTCTGCTGAGTTCCTCCTGCTTATACTTCAGTGTGCATGCTGACTGTAATTGATTTTTTCTTAATACTCCATTTAGAATAGATTGGTGAGTAATGTCTGTGCTATCCCTTTTCATCTCTTTCTAGTCTAATCTAAGACTCCTGCGCATAGCAGAAAGGTCAATACGCAGTAGTATCAACAGAGAACATTTATAGTTTGGTTTGGTTTGAAACGAGGTTCAGGTATTGATGATTACACTAAAATGTGCTTAGTTTTTTGCATAGGTTCAGACTGCTGTTTTGCAGACCAAATTAGCACATGACCTGTTCACATCTATAACCTTTATCAGTAGAAACTACCCACTGCTCAGTCTTAATCTTCAGAGAATCTAGGGATGATGGTGATTCGATAAACAAATCCTATCATGCCATGGAGTAAACTGCATATCTTCTTGTGCTTGAAATAGTTATTAAGGGAGATCTGTCTGTCCTTCTGTGAATTATTTATAGTAAAAGTAAAATATATCCAGAACCATAGCTTATGAAAGGTTACTGCCAGCCTGACTTCATGTTTAGGCCATCGGTTTTATCTGTGGGTCAGGATCTGCATATACTACTGCTGGCTGCGGTTCACTGTAGAGTCATTTCACCATCATCAGTATCCAACTGCATACAAGAATCACATCGTGGAAATCACAAGATCTTTATGCCTTGATCTGAAATGTGAAGGAAGAAAACAAACATTAAAGAAAAAACATTGGGTAGGGCTGCCCGAATGGTTTGAATTAAGATAAACAGGCACACTACATGTGACTGGCCACTAACAGTAATTTCGTTTGGTTCACTTAGAAAAAAGAAGAATGGAGAAGAAGAACAGCCAAAGTCCTCTCTCAGTAATCAGTACCGAATTGTTACACCCACATTCCAGTATAATATGGACTACAAGAAAGTTGGCAAATGTATTATTATAAACAACAAAAATTTTGAAGACAAAACAGGTAATGTTCTTTGATGATACTCATTACAGACTTTAGAATTTTTATACTTTCATTAATCAATAAGCATTTCATTTTTAGGATATGGAATTTTAATGAATATATTAATCTTTTTTGAGAAACAGTTGTTCCTACAATTTATTCCTGTTCTTTAATACTTACATTAGAGTGGCTCTTTGTAGCTTCTTTGCAGTATATGTTTCAAAGAGCATGTGACCTTGCTCTACCAACTTCAAACTAAACCTTTGTCCCAGAGTTTAAAGCCTATGTTGTTAAAATTTGAACTTTCGCATCTGCAGCCCACATTCTAACTTCTCTGGCCCTGAGCTACAGCTATGAGCTACAAAAGCTAGCAGCTGTAGCTGTGCTGTTCACACTCCTGCATTTAACTTTTCAGACCATGTACGGTTTCAAAGCAGATACTTGTGTTATAGTCAACTTTACAGGTCTTTTACTATGCTTGTCAAACCCACTAAAAGAAGTGTTTACTCTGAAGAATTTACATGAATTTGTTTTATGTGGGAATCATAGGGACTCTTTTCAACAGTTTCTCCTTGGGGTGATTTATGCATATGTTGCAGTGCATAACCAAAAGGAGATAGAATCATCCACAGGGGTCCTATGTTGCAAGGTGCTGGAGGCATGCCAACATTTTTCGGGATAAGATACGTGTTAACATTGAACCTTGCATTATTTTGCATTAAAACAGACCTCACAAGTTGCTCTCAATGTGGTTAGAGGATTGTTTTAAAATCGTGTCACTGTGACATTGTTTAGGTTTATTATTTACAAACCTCTAAAAATTTACTTTGAACATGTGAATTATTTTGAATTGTTTAATGTGCTGTCAACCATATTCTTTGTTTTCTGGCAGGAATGGGTACACGCAATGGCACTGACAAAGATGCTGGAGATCTAGCTAAGAGTTTTAGAAACTTAGGTTTCGAGGTATGCACATACAATGACCGAAGCCGTGATGATATGGAAAAATTACTGAAGCAAGGTAAAAATTTAGAATCATAGAATAATTCAGAGTGGAAAAGACTGCTGGGAGTCACCGAAGCTGTTCCCTGCTCAAATTAGAACAGATTGCTTAGACCCCACTACCCACAATTTTCTGTGTAGGACAATTCAGTTTCTGAATGGATTAGGCATAATTCCTCACCTCTTCCTCCAACGTCAATTCAGAAATACACGGTTTTCTTGTTATATTAAGTGAAGCATCTGTCCTGTGTGTGAGGTGAACAGCCTTGTCATGTTAGATCAAGAGTCTGTTGCCTCCAGTAGGCTAGACTCAGAGTCAAGTGAAGGATGCGTTCATGTATTCAAGTTACTTACCACAGTACTAAAAAGTGGGTTGTGTCATCTTTATCCACCTTTTCTTGTGCCTTCTAGTAGAGGCCCAGTGTATATTTAGTCTCAGAAAAATGTGTTTGCTGAATATAATTTTCATTTAAACTGTTGCTTCCTTTTGGCTAAGAAGTATTTGATTTGTAGCTGCTGAGGAAAATCACAGTGATGCCGCTTGTTTTGCCTGTATCCTTCTAAGCCATGGGGAAGAAGGTCTCATCTATGGCACTGATGGACCCATGGCTATCAAGAGTTTGACTGCGCTGTTCAGAGGAGACAAGTGTAAAAGCCTTATAGGCAAACCCAAATTATTTTTCATTCAGGTAATAGCCCTAAGGTAAATACATATCCCACTGCTGCAGTGGGGAAAACATGCTATGTTGGGTGTCTGCTCTGGAAGAGCCCTGTAGGTTAACTTACTGAATTTTGCTGGAGGTTTTGTGAAAAAATGTGTTGAGAGAAGTTGACTGTGGGTGACTTGCATTGTTTGTTTTTAAAAGATAATTTATATACAAGAGTCGCAGATGTAAAGAACATATTGTCATTGTAATTTTTTACTTGGTTTCTCTTTGTGCTTGGTAATATATGAAATTCAAAACAGGAAGATAAACTCCCTCTTGTGCAGACAGAGCTGAGGACAGTACGTGACTATCAATAGAAATAATACTGTCCAGGTCTCTCTGAATAACAGCTGTCTCTACAAATTACTGCATTCTGCTAAAAGAAATACCTTTTCTCTCCCTCAGTAGCCTAAAAATTTATATGGCATTATTGCATTAGCATATAATTAGTTGTATCTTACTTAAGCTTGTAAAGACAGCTGTTTCAAATGGTATTAACTGACATACCATGGGTCTGAATTCTCTTTTTTGTCATAGTGTTATGTGTGTATGGGAGTTGCAGCAGATGTGGTTTTCCCTAGGCTGTTCTATCAATTAATCCTCAGCCTCAAAGTGAAAATTGTGTCTATTTTAGACTCTTCATACTACTAAAGTGATGTTTCTTAGAAGTTTGGAATGGGTACTTTGTTGCCTTTAAAATTATCTTAATAAAGGCAACCAACTCATGTTATATAAGCCCATCAGACTGCTATTTTTTTGCAGGAGTTGTCAGTCAAAGCTACTGATCAAGAGCTGAAATGTACCAACCTGGACTGTGGTCCCAGTGTGCCCTTTAGCTAAACCGCATGATTAAGAGGAAACCAAGATAAAAGAGAGAAAAGGGAAAATGTTAAAAATGCAATATACTTGAAAGGGGTGGTCAAACACTGGAACATGTTGCCCAGATTGTAGACTCTCCATCTGTGGAGATGTTCCAAACCCAACTGGATACAGTCCTGGACATCTGCTGTAGCTGTCCCGGCTTGAGAAGGGGGATTAGACTAGATGGTCTTGGGATGTGACTTTGTTATTCTGTGAAATGTAGTGCTACAGCAGTGCAGGTCAGGAACCAAAGGCAATGTGTAGTCCACTGTGAAGAAAATGTCCAGAGGTCATGCTGCACGAGACGTTATGTAGTAATTGAGTGCTGAGGATGACTGTAGCCTGGTAAAATTAAATGTGGTTAGAATAAGCTAGTGCTGGCTGGCACTTTGACAATCCAGAGACCCTAAGCCTGCCACACCATTACCTCCCTTTACTGTACAGGATGTATATTTTAAAATGGGTAATTAGAATCTTTATCACTGAACAATTAAATATCCCCTAGGATTGCATTTCTGCTTTTAATACATGCAAAGTACTGCTTAAAACTGTGTACATTAAAAATATTAATGAATACTTATTCTTATAGCACCTTCTTGCTCCTTTTTGGACAAGTTTTCTTTGTCTTCACTGCTTTCAGGCATGCAGAGGCTCTGAATTTGATGAAGGTATACAGACTGACTCTGGACCTGCAAACGACACTCTGGAAACCGATGCCAACCCGAGATACAAAATCCCAGTAGAAGCAGATTTTCTGTTTGCATATTCCACAGTGCCAGGTAAAGAAAAGGAGGGCAGGGTGGGGCCAAAAGCCTAAAACCTTATCACCCATGTTGTCCTAATTGTAAACTGACCCTTGTCAATGATGCATTGTACATTGATGGACAAAACACTTAAGGCCCAGTGTGTGCTGGGCCAGTGTGTTGTATCCAGCCCTTTCACACTAGCTATAGCGGAAACAGGAGAAAGCCCAGATTTGGCACGCGAGAAGACACGGACATTTACAGGTGGCAAAGGAAGGACTATTTTCCAGGAATCCTGTCCTTCCATGTCCCAGTTATGTTGAATATGCGATGAAGGCAGGAAGAGGAACAGTTACAGCACGAAACTTAGAGAGAAAAAACATGAAATCTTACTTCTTGCGGTTTCCCAAATGCCGAATATAGAGCGGTACTCCAGTAGTGTGAGGTTTGGAGTGCTAACGCACGTTATTCTCCGCTTTAATGAAGTAGGATATGTGACACAAGTGATAAGAATTAAACTTTCTCTGTGTGCATCTCTTTGCCCAGAATCTTTCACACGAGTTAGTACATACCTCTCTGCCATTCCATTCTTCAGCACAAGGTAAATAGAAAAAAGAGGAAAAATAACCCCATGTACTTTCTTATCTGTCTTTCCTGTAAGGTTATTACTCCTGGAGGAATCCTGGAAGAGGCTCCTGGTTTGTGCAGTCCCTGTGCTCTGTGCTAAATGAGCATGGAAAACAACTTGAGATCATGCAGATCCTCACGCGGGTCAACTATGTGGTTGCCACAAACTTTGAATCACAGTCTGATGATCCACGCTTCAGCGAGAAGAAGCAGATTCCCTGCGTGGTCTCTATGCTCACTAAGGAACTTTACTTCTGAAAGTGTATTTTAATGCAGCCAGTGATGAAAGATCAGGATATGGTTTTGGGTAGAGATTTGATTATAAACTGGAGTAACACATTCTTAACAACAGAAATGAATTACACGAGATTTTTATATTGTATAAGACGGGGTATTTGATGGATGGACAATATGCAAGATTTTAAATAAGAAATAAATGCTGTTGGCCAACCTGACAGCTAATATTAATTACTGTATCTTGATTTCCCTTAGTGTGGCTGTCATGATTTATGGCTACTGAAGATATTCTGAAAGTCAGCTACCTGACCCATAAAGGTTTATTCCAGAAAACTGATTGTAAATTAAGAACAAAAAAAAATTAAGTCATAAGACTCCATCTTTTCTTTCACTGCTAGCTCATGGAACCAAAACTTCCTTGAAAATTTCCAAAGACCATCATATTATGGGTATGTCCAGCAATGAAACAGTTTGTAGCTATTTAAAAGGATGTTTCTTAGTCTAATATATTAATTTCCTTTTTATGAACATTATTAATGATGGCTACTGGTTACTCCGTGCTCAATCTGGAAGTCAATTTACTTAGTTATCAGTCTAGCATAAGATGGATAAATAAAAAAATCAATATTTGTAGATGTTTTATCTGAATAGTATGGAAATGTAACAAATAGAAAAATCAAAATGAAAATCTTTGTAAAAGATTGGCAAACTGTAATTGGATGATGCCTTATTAAAGTACTGTTGTAAAGATTTTTGCCTTGCAAATGACAATTAACTGATAGAATGGCCTGAAACAGTGGTATTGCAGTTTTTCTGCTTGCAGAAATAAAACTATCTGCTTGTTGAATCAGAAGTTTTGAACCAACAGAAAGTTAATGCCAAAGTTTTGTTATAAAACATTATATATATAACACATATATTTATAACAAAGCCTTTATAACAAGGCTTTGTTATAAAACATTAAAATTTAATATTGAAATGATAGAATTATATGTTCCAGTAACAAATATATGTTTAGATATAGCTTCTATTTGTGAGGAATTTTGCCAAGACTGGAAATACTTACTTGAATCAGAAACCAGAAGTGCCTTTTTAGTTACTGTACGGTCTTGATTTTGTATTTTAGAGTTACATCAGTGATGTTTATATTCCTACTTTTTATATTCTCTTCAAAGTTGATAGCTAGCTCAAAAAAGTAGGTTTATATATTTGGTTAAACTGATAAATGATTAGTTGTTCGCCCTTTTCCCAGTTAATGTACTCTATACTCTTTTGAAATCTTCCTAGAAAATAAGTGCATACTATTAAAGCCAAGTTACCAAATCATTAAGTTTATTTTCTTACAAGTACTGACATAGCGAGGCATATATTTTTTTCATGAGTCAAATTTACAGTTGTTTGAATTAAATAAATGATTGTTTTATGGACGTCTTGAGCATGAAATCAATAAAGTCCTTTTTTCTACATTTCCTATGAATATTTGCATGTTTGTCACTCAATCTGGTGAAGTGAAAACCAACCAAAATACATCCCAAAACCTTTCTCGGTCAAGAATGCTGATGGTCTTCGGCGTTTTTTCAAGATGAGGTTTACAGTGTCAGTTGAAAAGTAGTTTAGAGAAGTAAGCTGGCATTGGGTGACTTGGGTTAGGCAGGCCACATCCTCTCTTAGAGTAAACCAAAACTACTGGAAATATTTTAATGGGAATATCCTGATCTACCAGCGCTTGTTCTTGCCCTGTGTATAAAATGTCCTTATACAGTAAAGTGAGCAGTGGCCTAGCAGTTCATATGAAAATGTTCTTCCTATTACAAATACCTCTGTCTTAAACTGCTTTCTGGCATTAGAGATATTCCTGTGTTACCATGAGAAATGTGTCCAGTCGACATTTTGCTATTTGTTACTCCTCTGGAAGCTGTTTTGTGTATTTATAGTTCATTAGTGTTGGTTTGCTTAAGATTTAGCCTTAAATTTCTGTTAACAATATTCCCCTGTCTCCAAAACTGTCCTTTTATTCAGATTCATTGTAGCTCTGAAGCCAGAGAGCCTTGGGAACAATAAAGGAGCAAGTAGGGGCTCTGGAACAGGTCATTTAAGTTTTTAAATTAATGCCAAGGAATGTAACAGCGTAACAGGTAAGGAGCGCATTTCCTCTTGTTAAAGGTTCTGTGAGAATGATATTTTATATTTGAAAAGTTACAGCATATTTATCTTAGCTTAGAAGAATTGGGAAAATAGAAAAATTACTAGAAATAGTCCCTGATCCAGCCTACAAGGGACTACTGAGAAAGAATCAGAGGAGTTAATACTAGCAAGTTTCCTGCATGAGTAGGAAAAGCTATTCATCCTATTGGATATAATGTATACAAGAAAAAAAAGAGGCGGACAGAGTGGGTCTTTATCAGATTTTGTTGTACATTTGCTATGACGGACATTAATAAGGACAGCTTGGGAATTTCCAACTAACAGGCGAAATGATAGCTGTCTGGCTAGGAAAAAAGACAAAGCAGTAACGTTATTTGAAGCTCTCCAGTGCTCTAATATGGCAAGCCAACAAGGCACTCTCAACATTTGCAAGAGGTCTCCTGGCAGACCAAAGGTTTCCTGGAAAAAGATGATAGTATGGCACAAAGGAGCACAGCAATTCTACCTGCTGACTGACAATGAAAGGAAGAAGTTGAGGCTGAATCTTAAACAAGCTTTGGGCTAGTTCTAGTATATGAAATAGGAGAAGATCAGCATAAAATACCTGAAGAAAAGCAACTTGAAAGATAACAGAGTAGTGAAAAAAAGAGAGAAAAACTTTCCTTGGTGTCGAGACCAGGGTCTCTGCTAGATAGAGCATTACTTCAGATATGTCCAAAACCCATTAATACTATTTAAGAAGAAAATTTCCCACCGATGGACATCACGTCTGACTGGTGATGTTTACATGCTGAGAGCTGTGCCAGCCCATTCAGAATGAATAAGCCTGACCCTCTCACTTGAGCAAGGCCAGGTAGCTACGTAGTGACTTAGAAGCTGAGGGCATTTTAGCTTATTTCCTGATCAAATTTATAACTATTTTCTGTCTAAAAGCAATTCCCATGCCATCTGCATGATTAGCCAAACGGTTTAGTGTGTAAAATCATTATCATTAATGATATACTGATAATGTTTCTGGAGAGAATCTGAAAACTTTACCTATAACCAAGACAGTCGCTGACCTTACAATGAAAGTACATTGTCATTACACAGGTAGCATAAGAAATCCTGCTTCACTATTGTATGTTTTAGCAAATGCTGTTCATTATATATGGCCTTGGTTACATTTTATGGTACTTCATGATCTTTGAGGGTTCTTAATGTTGCTTTTTTTTCCAGTCATGGGTGGATATTATACTTTAGACACAGCTCAGGGGAAGCGAAGGGACTGTTTAGAAATCTGAACCAACAAAAAGGAGCTGTCTTCAGGCTATTTTCTGCATGGGAGACATTTATGGCTGCCTCAAATGTGGATACTTTTTCACTGCTTGTAAGTTAATATTAATCTTCTGGATTTCCCCTTTTAGAATTGTGTTTAATTTGCTTCCCATGGCAGAAACAGGAATTTCCTTGTGGGTCATATTTCAGGGTGTTTGTATTTACACACGGACTATAAGAAGGCAGTCACAATGCAGGACGAGGACACATCGTGTTTTCCTGCAGGAGGCAATACAGGGAATCTGGAAATACTTAAAGGTGTATTTCTCTAAAACTTTCTACTACCATAAAGACATTTTACCTGTAAGTATCAACACAGTTTGTTTTCCTTATCCTGGTATTATATTTTTGAAGTTTTATGGTAGCCTACATCTTAATAATGTGAAGCATTTTATTTGCATTTTCACTGAAGTGCCTCACTGCATTTCAAAAGGTTGAAAGCAGTCAAATCTCTTAATGCTGGGCACACAAAAATCTGAGGGGGTGTAATCATGGAATTGGCATTGTTTATTCTGAATTAGACATAACCTGTTTAAAATGTTGCTTTCCATTGAAGAGAAGACAATTAAACGCAACAACTAAAAACATGCAAAGTGTGATAGCACAACTATAATCTTATGGGATTTTGTCTTCCCACCTGCAAATCTTGACTTTTACTGAAACCTAGAAGATACTTTTATCCTGTCATAGGTTCTTGGAACATTGTTTTGCAAGAATTGCATCATTTGCCTGTCGCAGTGACTCTGTCAGTCAACGTTGAAAAGATTGTTATATTGCCTTTCGTTGCAACCTCAAGCATGTGCCCCTGCTACTGACACTAACAATTTGACTTTGTGTGCAGTTATGTTTAGTTTTAGAAATTGCTATTTTGTCCTTTTTTTCAGTAGGCAATAGATGACAGCCCTAGCAGTAAATTTTGTAAAAGTCTGTCACAGCAATTTTACGACAAATCTTTCTCCCAAGAAGGCAAAATCACAAATGTTTCCCTAAGAAAAGCACCCCAAAAATACAGGTAGAAATGTTCTGCAGAGATCTCCAATGGACCTAAGTTTGCAGTGGGTCATTCTCGTTTACAGCATGGTGTTGCCTGGACCAGGAAGAGTGGCAGTCTATAGCAGTAGTTGTGTCAGAGGTAAAATTTTGTGTGTAACCGATGCCATGTCAGGTGAATGAGGCCAGAAAATAACCAACCATTTCTGACCACCACTCCTGACTGTGCCATGTTTACTTCTGGCACCATGGAGTAGATCACTGAAGAAACAGAAGCAAAGGAAACCCCTTAAATCTCTCAGTCCAGCCAGGGAGCTCAGCAAAGAACTGGAGAACAGCACTTGCAATCCTTCGAATTTTCCCAGAAGAGGCTCTGCAGCTTCAGGTGGCACACATGTTGGAGACTGTAACCTATTTGTAGCTTACAGACAACTTCAATCCAAGTTACCTAAAGGAAAGGATTTGATTTTGCAAGGAATGAGAACTTTGGGGTAAGGCAAAGGGAAACCTTTTAACACTTTCCCAAATGATGTTGCAAACAGATATTACAAACAGGTACTACAGACTGGAAATGTTAAGTATATGAGAGAAACTAGGTCTGATTTTAAACAACAAAGCAGTTGTGAGGTAATAAAAAACTGTTCAGCGTGCAAAATGTAGTGCCAGGCATGAAGTGGATTGGGAGGAGTGCAGAGCTCACATACGAGTTGCAAAGAAAAAGCAGTGCTTTGGAGGTCTGGCTCTGTTACCCTGACACCCAAATGGTGTTCTTCTCACAGGAAAGCACTGAAAGGCAAATTAGCCAAAAAAACCCAACAATGGAAGCCCATTAACCAAATCTACCTTTTACCTTCTAAATGCTCCATCTCTGTGTTCCTGCACTTATCAAATCCCACAGACTGCTGTCTGCATGTTTCATTGAAGGGTTATTTAACAAAAGTTTGGAGGAGTCTGTGGAGCTGCATCGAGGCATTCTGCCTCCCTGCCAGCCTCTATTCCCATCTCTGCCACAGCCTGGCTATGCCAATGTGCAAGTTATTTAACTTCTCAGGTTTACAGTGAAATTCCCATTTCCCTGGTAATATTGGAGGAGATACTGCAAAAATATGTTGACGTAAATAAACCCAGATACTCTCTGTTTACCCCTCTGAAAAATCATAATACTAATCCATGTCTTAGCTGTGAAGTTTAATTCATCCCTGTTTATAAACCTCTCTGAGAGCATTGTATTAAGAATGCTACAGACTTGCAAATTATTATGATTGTCATAGTATTATGACTAGATTTTCTAAATAGATTTTAAACTCTTTAGGCCAAACTATGCCACTTTCATACAGGGCTGGTCACACTGCTAAGGCAGCATCAGAGACATGTATGGGATGCAATATTCCTAGGTTACAGGTGGTGTGTCTAGTGCAAAGGAAGGGGCAAAATGAAGTTCTGTTGACAGGTCTCACCACTTCCTAGGCAAATCATCTCTTTGGCCTCTATAAATATATAATTTTTATTATTTGTAATTTTATACATGTATTACAATAGAAAAAGTATTCTATTATAGCATATAATGTATAGTGTACTTTATAATATAAAATATTATGATGTATAATAATATGCTTGAATAATAATCATTCTAATTAATTATTTAGTTTATCATAGATTTTTCTATGTTTATTTTGTATAGTTTAATCTTCACTATGAAAATAAACACTTGTGAGATATTTGTTATTTTCTCAGGAGACCGTGCGTGCAGTGAAATGCTGTTCAACAGCAAGCAAAGCAAAAGGAATTAGCTTCAAGGGTTTTGCTCTCTTTCCTATCTGGGTGGAAGAAACAATCAGGATGACTTGTACAAGTAAAAGAAATTCTGCAGGTACAAAATTTCATTTGCAAAGATTTGTCAGTAGTAAGGCTGAATCAGGTTTCAATCCATTCTTGTCAATATGTGATACCGTTCTCTTTGCCTTCCACCTGCCAAGGATTTTGTGGTAACCAATAGGTGAAAAACGGGAAAATAGCATCCTGAAAAATTTGGAGATCTCATCTGGACTTATGCTGTGTGTTAATTCTGCCCCTCTGCTTCCTTCCTGAAAGAACCTGTCCTAAATGCAGCATTTCCCTTTATAGCAGAATTTTTCTTGTCCTTAGCATAGAGGTTGAACTGATGCTTGTAAAAAACATTAAAATCCTTAAAAATTAACCGGGAACTGGAAGATACAGTCAGTATCTCCAAGGCACTATTGGTGAAGCCTTACATCCACTGAAGTCAACAGTAAATGGGATTTCAGAACCAAGCATTTCTTGCATCACCACAAGGTTTGATCCTGTTATGTTTCCCAGAACATGTACATTCTCTACTGTCCCTTACTGGAAGATCCAAAATGACTGTGCTCCTTTCAGTCACTAGATTCTTAAAAAAATCTTAATTTCCCAATTAAAAAATGAAATCAGTTTGCCACTCCTTTCAGTGGGTGATAAAGTGCATTAATAAAACTGATATTTTGATCAGAAATCCACCAGTTCTTAGAAAATGTGAATCTTAAACTACAGCTGGCCACAGAGTATGCAGGGTCGTGAACAAATACATTCAGGCATTTCCCCCCACAACGTTTTAGCTCATATTTTGCATAAGACTTTTTCCTGTTGTCACATCCTGATTCACAGTGTAAGATGATCTATCCTTAGCTGTGTTTGCAACCTATCCAAATTGAATGCCAACTGAAAATTTCATTAGGGGGCTGTTTACTGTCTTTCAGATCACTGATTGTGAAGTTAAGTGAGACCAGACTCCACAAGTTAAATAAGACGAGTTAAATAAAACAGAGGGTCGTGACATCTTCCGAGCCCCCTACATTGTCATTACCCGTGGTTTACAGTTTGGGCCAGTTGTCAGCAGTGACATTGACAACAGGGAAGCACTGCCTGGCCCTGTATTGTAGAGCCTTGATTTGTGTTTGTCTTCTCTAATTGTAGTGTGCTTTATGGCTATTTAAGCACAGAAAAGCAGTGCTCAGCAACAATTTCCAGTTCAAGCAGGTCTTTGTGAGAGATTGATTTGCAACAAATTAAGTAACGGTGCCATTCATTTCTCTTTGATTAGTGGCAACTCAGATTGCGTTTTGCCCTGAAGGTGGAGTCTGCAAGCATGGATTCCTCATCAAATCACCACCTCTTCAACTTTTCAGCTCACAGGTATACTAACACAGATTAGTCGTATTCCAGCAATCCCTCCACAAGCATCTGTTATTTCTGATATCCTGAATTTTAATGAGAGACAAATCACTTTCTCTTTGTCAGAATTCCTGGAAAAGGCGTTTTTTCATCCTGTCCAAATCCAGCAAGGGCAATTACATCCTGAAGTATCTAAAAGGCCGGAACATAAAAGGCTCCATAGCTGTTGATCAGTATGTAACTCAAATGCATCACCTTTTTCTTTTAAGTCATGTATGAACACTCTTAAATGGCCACTGACTGTACAGACACGTTCCTGATTGAGGTCCTTGACCCAAATCCTACTGAAGTCCAGAAAAGAGTCCCCTGGGCTTTTGTAGGCTTTGGATGCAACTTACAGTGTATGATACATGTAGAAGTAAAAGTCCTAAATTGCTTTGATGAAATTTGATACATCTATGAGTGGTTGTGGTGATGTGCTATCTGCAAACCAGACATCTTGGCTCCATGATCCCAAAGGCTGTATTCCTGTAGTAGAAGATATTTTGTCTTCTGGGCGGATAGTGCTATGCATTCACTCACATGTGAGTAAGGATGGGCTATGCCACTCCTAACTGTGGCACACAACCTTTCCCACCTTATGGCTTTACATAGTGCTTTGGAAGTTGTGCAGAGGTCTCCTGGCTTTCACGTAGCTCTTTGGGCTCGTGCTGGCTGCCCCACTGCCTCTTATTCCACCAAGAAATTGCTCTGCCTGCCTCGTTTGGGCTGGTTATTTCGTTCCTCTCAGCACAGTGTCCACCTCAGCAAGGCTGGGTGTCATTGGTTTTGACCTGGCACCCTTTACAATGTCACATGTGGTATGAGATACATAGAAGGGAAACAGTAAATGTAAAGGGAAATGTAAAGATTTTATCAATCAGACCTGGAGCTTAATACTCCAGGCTCTCGGAGTTGTTAGGCATGGAGGTCACTGGACTCACATTGCTATTATGCTTCTTCCATCAAAAGGATTTACATTGTGAAGCTTTTGAAGAAATTCCAGCTTGCTCAGTTGTATGTGGTTACATTATTACCACCATTATTGTTGTTATTATTTTTACTAATTTAACTTCTTGGAAGTTAATGGAAGTAGTGCTTCCATTTAAGCACCCATTAAGAGTAACTCCTGTCTGTTCCTTTTCCCCTCCATTAAAACACTGTTAATAGAATTAGTTTCAAATCAAATATATTGTTCTGTAGTGGTTCAAAAACATCCGCTAGGAATTTTTCTTACTATCATTTCTTTCCAAGATTCTGTGTTAGCCCAACAGCCACTCTTTTTCAGAAATGAGGATCCAAAATCTGGACACATGTCTGCAGAAGTTGATCTTATTTTTTTGCTTGGAACTTTTCTTCATTGAAAGACCATCTGTTTTGAATGTGTGCACTTATTTTCTGGATATTTTTTTCTGTGGAAAAATGTTTACCTTTTCCCATGCAGATCTCATCATATGCTGTGCTTAGAGTAAAATACACACATACACACATGTATGTGTGTGTGTTTGTATGTATATATAATTATACAGGATGTTCATGTGGTTATCTTAACAGAATCATAAATATCGAAGTTGGCGTAAGCAATTCTGAAATTATGGAAACAGTGAGGAAGATGTTTAAATGCCTTCCTGAGCAGGTGATGTCCATCAGTACTATAAACAGATGTTACTACCTCATTGGGAGCAGCAGGTATGCGTAGAAAGATGTGGAAATGCAATATGACATTACAGTTAAGCTAATGCCACACTAAGCTGCTGCCCCAAGGCAGGGTCCTACTCCTTCACAACCACTTACATCCCTTCTTGTGTCTCAGCTACTGATGGCGCAGCTCCAGGATGAAGCAATTCAGCTGGTTGATCCAATGGAAACCTTCTCTTTTCTATGTAATTTTTTTCCCTGTGTGCCCAGGTTAATTTTTGCTGGTTCAGACAGGTGAACTAACCTTCCCTGCAGCCACACTGCTACAACGTCCAACACGTGGAAGTAGCGGGAGCACGCGGCTGGGCGTGGGGATGGCAGCAGCAGTACATCGGTGTGGTGGTGCCATGTCCGACTGCACCGGTTAAGGGTCAAGGAAGAGCAGAGAGCTTTGTTTTCTCACCTAGCGGCTCCTGGGAGTTAGGAAAGCTCCCGCTCCTTATGGATAAATCACAGGAAATAATCTTGCCCTGGAAAGTACATTGTTAATCAAGGGAAGCAGACTGAAGGGGAAAATTCCCCCAGAGGGAAAACAGATCCCAGAAGGAATGATTGAGGCCTTTACTGCAGCGGGGTGGTGTGCTCCCTGCTTTCCTAAGCTGCAATCCAGTGCTCAGCAAGGGCAGAAGCAGCTGCTGTCGAGGTGATCAGCCAGAGTTCGGTTAGGTGAGGGAGGACATTTGGCACAGTGCTCCTCTGCTGCTGCTTCCCAGCTTCAACTCTTCAGTTTCCCAGCCGCAAGCATGTCAGGGGGTTTTCTGCCTTTATGCAGAAGAGCAGCTGATGTGTGAAACACTGAGAAGCACAGAAGAAAAACACATACCTGTGTGTTACTTGAGCGTGCCAGCCCACGCCTTCCCCCAGGGCACTGCAGCCACAGTCCAAGCTTGATGGGAAGTGTTCCAGGATTAATCCAACTAAATCCACTGCAAGTATGAAACAGGGCTTCAGGGGTCCTTTCATGGCATGTTTCTCATCCTGCTCACCCAAATGCATTCCCAAGCCTTGTTGTCTTTATGGCAGAACTCAGCAGAACAGCATTACACATAGAAAATGAAGCAGAAAGCACCATCCCACCGCTCTGTCTCTCTCCCTCTCTGTGTCTCTTGCACACACACACACAGTCCCCCCTGCATAACTTTTGGCTCCCGGTCCTGGGCTGCACCTCTCTGAGGTCAAACTTTGCCATCTGACTATGGCCACCCAAGCACTCTCTCTTGAAAGGAAGGTGCAGATTTTCCCCATTGATTTTGGGAAGCATTATTTTGGTCCCTATAGGAAAAAGTGGGTAGGCAAATGGGTTTTCCTTGTGTTTTGCCTGTGAATAGGTTTTCATTTCTGTTTTTCCAACCTATAGGCAGGAAACAGAGGACTGGGTTACTGTGATATCTTCAGTCTGCACAGATGCCAAAAGAGGAGGATGCTGCCCTCAGGTGACATGTTACTGCACTTGATTTTAGAAAGAAAGAAGTCTGTAATTTCGTTAGAAACTTGTGCAAAGGAATTTTCCTCATTTTGGCCCTGCAAGTTGGCTTTTGCCTTGGTTAATCAGAAATTCATATTCCATATAAATCCTGTACCCTGGCTTTATGCATTAAGCAGGCACTGCACAGTCTGGTTGCACTGGGATTGATTTTACATTGAAGGAATCTCTTTGAAGAGTAAGCCACATGGAAATTAGGAGATGATTGACAGTGTGCTGCAGTGAAATGCACCTTTGATGCATCAGAATGAAAACTTACGCGTTATTCTTACTGTGTGCTTTTTGATTATATTTACATGCTGTTTTACAAACCAATCCACATCTAGTCTGTCAATGTTATGAGCCAGCTGGAAGCCCTATTAGTTCAAGCTCAGGCCCAAGTTTCTGCACCTTGTCAGCCAGCCAGGCCTCCTAGTTCAGATGCAGCACTAAGCTCCTTACATCCCTGTAGCTTCTAGTTAGCTCAAAGAGCAAGCAGGGCAAATTTATATCTGCCTGAAAAATGCCATGTAGACAACCTCTTTAAGCCATTAGAAGTAAAACTTGGACTAGTGGGATGCATTGGTACATTGTAGCCCATCAGGTGCCTGTCTTCTTACACTGCTCTTATCTTATTCTAGAACCAGGATCTTCCAAATCCGGAAGTCAGAAGCCGGCCCTCCTCTTTACCACTATTCTTGAATTCTATAGATACAATCAGTTTACCGGAAGGACAAGGTCACCAGAAGGTAAGCAGATTAGCCATCCTTCATAATGAGTTTGCTCCTAGGGGTGACTGTGAAATTTGATTTGTATAGTTGCTTTTTTCTATCAGAAGTTCTTCAGAGCTTGTGCAATGTGTGCCCGGGCAGTCTGTCCTGCTCTCAGTGGGGTTCCCAAGTAGGACCCAGATGATAATATCAGAGAGACCCCACAAAGGAAATACTTTTGAGGAAAGTCTGCATGTGAGTAAAGGCAGGTGTTGATGGCAATGAGAAGCTATATTCATTGGCTGTCTCAACTGACTGGCAAAGATTAGGGGGCATGAAGTAAGTCCCTAAAGATTCGCTTTGACGTGCCTTGGCAAAGACACATGATGGTTGTTTTGGCAGCTGCTAGCCACATTCCTCCTGGTTTGTGATTTGTCTCTTTCTTCAGGCTGTAAAGCTTAGAGGGGAGTTCATGTCCAGTTCCTCTGTGCCTTTCATATCTTCCCCTTCAATATTTAAATAGAAAGGAAGAAAGCGTTGCTGCTGTCCCAGAGCAGTTGCAGTCCCTGTCCACTGGTGACAGGCTGAACAGCAGCCACGGAGTTGTTGGTTTTCTCTGGCCACAAAGCTGTGTGCAAATGGCCCAGCTAGAGGAAGCTGAAGGCAGGTGAAGCACCTCCGGTGTATCCTTAGGAGTCGTCGACTTTTTTCTTTTGTATACAGGAGGATGGTTCCTCAGAAGACCAGAACAGGCCTGTTTCAGATCCTGGCCCACATCAGGCTCCGTGTGACTCACCAAGAGGAGATTTTCCAAGCCTGGTGAGCAGAACAAATCAAATAGCTCTTGACTTGTTCAGTCTGCAGAAGTGACTGTTGGCTCTTATCTTACTTGAGTATCTGTAACTAGAGATTTCCCAGCACGCTGTTGGTTTTCACTATGAAAGTTTCCTAAATATTTAGTCTGTTGTCTTGCTTAGCACTGAAAATTGCCTAAGAACTTGCTTGAAATACCCTTTGTTTACTTTGCTTCTTGGAGGCAGATCCTCAGAGTTTCTGTGCAGTAATTACAACTTGTGGCAGCTCTCACAAGCTTGAACAAGAAGTTGCACTGCTTGAGGATTTGCTCCTGCCATCACATTTCTCAGTTGTGCCATAGTCTTCCTAAATGGTTTCTTTCTGCAGCCTCCACCAGAAGCAATTTAATCAATGTAACTGAACGACAGAACAAGGACTTGTAAAATTGAGGCAATTGTAAAATTGAGGTACACCTCAGGACTGACCTTCTGTCAGCATAAATATGACTTAAGTAATTTAGCTTCCATATCTGGCAGGAATGATTTTAAAAGATACAATGATGATTATTATCATGTATTATTGGCTAAATGTTCTGACCTGTGTTCCCTGAACAAATACCTGCAGCAGTTTCAGATGGTTTTCACCCATCCTTTGCCCTGGATTAATGCCTTTGCAGCAGCATTAATGGAACAGAAGGCACAGCCAAGGCTCCACCACACCAGTATGCAGTTTGGCAGCTGAGTTTAAACTCATCTTTATTGGCAGTTTATGTATTGGACTATGATCTGGAGTGGCTGAGATACAGGGAAAAGAATCTGTTCTGCTATCATAGCTAACAGGGTGGTAAATTACATGCTGCAGTCACCATCCGTGTGTATTAGGCTGGCAGCAAGCATGAGATAATATAGCTAAATTTAGTGGAAAGGAGTGAAAACAGCTGAAACTACGTTGCAATGCCATGTGCAGTTAGCACAGCTCAGCTGATGCACAGTACTTTATGAAGCTGCAATAATACAATTGTGAGTCTGAGCTCTGAAATGCGTTGAGTTAACCCTTAGTCTGATTTTAACTAGTGCTGCTCCAGATGCATACCAGGGCTCTCTTTCAGTCTCTTACGCATGCCTTTTCTGTCTCATGCTTTAATTCTTTTCATAGTTATGATGCCTCAGAGACCATGTATTATATTGCAGCTGTTTGAACTAGGACAGACTGACCATGAGGGTTAAAAGATAAGGAATTTGGATTTTACCTTTTTAGCTTGAAGCAGAGGGAATAGCAGGAAGCTCATATTTCTGTTTCAGCATGTGTGAAACTAAATAACCTTGCCATACATCCTACAAGAAACAAAAACGTTTGTTCTTTCGATAAAAATATTTCACTTGCCTCATAAGTTTAGCATCTGCTAACATCTCTGGATCTATTCTCTGCTCAGTGATGTCTAGACAGCTGACTTTCAGATTAATCCCTTGTATTTACTTCCTTTTAGAAGTATAACTCCACATTTCTAGCATCTGATTCATTTTGCTTTTTATCAGTGGTTCCCTCACGCAGGCCCAGATCTTGGTAACTCTTTGGTCAGCAGCCGTTACTCATGCAAACAGGCCTCTCAATGCCAGGTGAGTCTAGTCACGCAGGCAGGGACCCTGGAGCGGCCCGGGGACGTTTCTCCCTTTCAGCCCACATTCTGGAGCTACTGAACCACATCTGAGTCAGAAATTCAGTATGAGCTGTTCTGATGCACAGCTTTCAATACCTGAAGTACATCAAAATGAGGAGCCCCGACTTGCGTCACCCTGTACGGTGCATCACTGTACTGCAGGCACCTAAGCATCCTTGTTGGGATCTCTTAGACACACATGATTTTTTGAAAGAGAAGTTTCTCTATCCAAGGGCAACACGTAACTTTCCCTATGGAGCCTGTAACTAACAATTACTCAGTTGTTCTCCAGGTATCGTTTCCACCTTGTGCTACAGCCAGTTTTCTCCGTAGTCTACTTTCTGTCTAATGTAGATCCACATCATGGTTCAACAGAGGCTTAAAGAGCTTGTTTAGCTGTACAGTTGAGAGTAACATCACAGTACACTAAGGTTAAATGCACTTCTCTGGTGGTAAAGCACCTGGAGGAACAGAGATGTTGGCAAACTGCCTTAGGGAAATATAGTGCTGCTGCAGCTTAACCTCCTTCCCATTGTCCCTGTAATCTGTGATAATGCCAAGGAGAAACACTACGCATTTGGCAAAAGGTAGCCACTGTCAGTGATTGAATACTCAGTTTGGGAAGCTGATGAGTGCTGTCTGTTCTCTGAGATTTCCTAGGAGTTGGAGGATCTCAAGGCTTCGTAAAATCACCTTCTCTTCCCCCTTCTCTCCCAGTGTTTACTTGTTTGATTGATCCAAAGCCCCTGAAAAGTCACTAGGAAACTCATTCGTGACTTTAGAACATGACCACAGAGCCAGTCTCGTTCCTGCTGTGGTTTTGTTATGCATTTCTTGAAGGACCATTTGACTGTTTGTTCTGACTCCTACTGCATGAGTTGCTTTTTATGTCATTTATACCAACAAGGAACAAAAATACATTCATCATCTTTCATTTCTAGTCAATATCAGCTTCTTATTCTTACATGTGAGTGAGTAATTAGTTTAATTTACTTTACCTTGAAAACACTAATATGTTCTGTGGCATATTTAGCAATTATTAAAATGATCGCCATGGAAACCAAGGATGTAAGTGGAGAGAGAAAAACGGTTGCATCACAAACATGGCATGGAGAATTGCATTGAGAGGCAGCAAAATACTGATTACCATATTCTTCACTATAGTGAAGTCAACAAGGAGACTCAAAAATAAATAATTTATCTTTGTGACTTAGAAAGGTAAACTTGGTGGAGGGATTAATTTCTCCTTGACTTACCAAATTGCCACAAACTTAGTATTTCAGGTATTTATGAAGTCAGAATATCACTCAGGACACAAAGGATTCAATGTCAGACCTCTAGCCCTGCAGGGTACGTTCTAATTCATAGAGAAGTATGAGATAATAGACTGCTCATGAGTCAGGGTAGTCCCAAATTCGTTCTTTACTTGGTAGCAGTTAAAAGGTGCTTAAAAACAATGAATATATCCCTATCCACTTCTGGATTTCCGACAGATTTTTTTTTCGTAGTGTAAGGACTTTAGAACTGAATGCAAATAAAAAAACCTTTTCCACACAAGTGAGCCTAAATGCACGCAGATTCATACATGAAGTGTTTAACCCACTTGATTTTTAAACAAAATAGCAGGTTGTTAACATGCAAGCAATTGCAACTGCCAGCTTACCACAAATCCATCTATGGGAAGTACTAATGCCAGTGGCCAGTTTTGTCCATGTGCAGTGAATCTCAAAAATGCAAGAAGGACCACAAATATAGAAACAGACTGGCTCTGAGCGTATCTTGCTTCGAGGAGAAACACATCTTCCCATATTTTCAGTGGATGTTTGCTGATTCTGTTACTTCTCCATGTAAATGGAAAAATACACATTAAACAATCTGTATAACAACCTGTTAAATACAAAATCATTCTTTTAACAGGATAAAAATCTGGGAAAAGGAAAATCTGCTGTTGTCAGACACAGATGAAGACATCAAAAAGGATGAAGAAGATTATTACCAAACTCCTAGCAGTATTTTAGCAAAGGTAGTTTATCAGTTGTGAGTTCTGCTGATTCGTTAACAGCTCCAAGGAGACAGGAGACATTTAATGAGCCAAAGAGGAACTGGTATGAGGAACCACTAGTACCTTGCAAAAGAAATACATAGATAAAGCAGTAGGTAATAGAGCTTTCATTTGTACAAGAAAAAATACGCTAGACTCATTCAAAGGATCTTTCTGGTAGAAAGTGGCATTTCGACAAAAACATTGCTGATTTTGTTGAAATGCCCCAAATTGACTGTTCCATTGTAAATGGCTTTTGCCTGTTGTATAACAGGGTTGGGGTTTTTTTTGAAAGTGAAAGCTTCATTTAGAAAATGTAACAGTACATTGTTTTTATATATTTAAAAATGTAATTCTGTTGAAGCGTCAGTAAGCTGCATAAAACGAAGCAGTACTTTAAAAATGCTGTGAAATGTTTTGGTATTGACATTTCACTGTGAAACAAGGGAGCAGGAGGAATCATGCTGGTAATTTTGAACAAATTTTGACACCAAATTTGAGAGGTTAATTTCTCGAGGCTTCCCATGTCGTTAGTGATCAGGAGAAGCTAAGTGGTCAGTCTTCTGCAGAAGTTGCAGCCTCTCTCCCAAGACTGTACATCTAACTGAAGGACATTAACAATATGGTTTTGTCATATAATCTAAGTGCTTAAGTGGAGCACACCCAAAGTACATGACTCTTTTTTTCAGCCTGCTTAAATTAAAATGTAATAAAATTTTTGTGGTAGTACTTTAGAATATAGCTGGTTATGTCCCAATCTGGAAGTGTCAATAATACCAGACAGCATTAAGTTGTAAGTTTTAACTCCCTTTCTAGCTCATGGTTTCTGGGAATTGACTTACTTGGGGAAAACCAAGCCATGTTAGCCAATGTGTTTAAACAATGTGAGCACTGAACGAAGTAAGGAAATTAAGAAGATTTTTTCTGTAGGCAGAGCAATGATATTAACATCTTATGTTGTTATGTGTTTCCAACAGTGCACTACTGAAGTATCAAAGCCTATCAAAACAGCTGGGTCTGATGTCGCTGTGCAAGAGAAGCCAGTGCAGCAGAACCCAGTAAAGGAGGACATTTACGTGTCAATGAAATCACTGTGTGTAACCACTTCATTAAGGTTTTGCAAATTAAGAGTGACATAATGGTACAGATAGAGTCATCATCTGCAGTATTTGCATAACAATATCTAGAAGCTGCATCTTGTTTGAATGAATCTTTCTTTGGTCTTGGTTCAGAAAGTTCAGAACTCATGGGAATACCAGAGTGAAACTCAAATTCATCACCATGAAATTTAAACTCACACTGCAAACTCATGCATTTAGACAGGCTCTGGCTATAGGATTTTTGTGGACTTACACTTTTTCTAGGTTTTCATGACATAGCAGCCCACCACTTTATTCAGGTATCACAGCCAAGCTCCAGCAACCATTCAGACAGGTACTCTCCAAAGCAGGCAGCATTATCTAGTGCTTAAAAGAGAAAGGTAGACATGGGGCATTAGCTCCCAGCTTTTACAGCAAGTTATGTGAGCCTGAGTAGGTCATCTCCTGCATTCCATTTTCCCACCCAAAGAATGGGTCTGATGCTGTGTGCTTTGACAGTACAGTGTTTGGCATGTCACAAAGAAAGACCTGAAATCTGTGTCACAGCTGCAGTGACAAAAGGAAACTTTACAACTTCCACGATACAGCACAGCATACTGAAGAGAAGTGTGCCTACATAGTAAACCCATACCTCCTGAGCCAGAGGACTAGTCATTAGCTGTTAGCTATGGCCTGCCACCTACAGAGTCAGGTCTTATGCCACGTAGTGGGAGGCAATTGGAAATGCAAACCCACAAACCAGTTTATTCCAATAGGTTTATTCAAGCTCGCCTGTGTCTCTGGGACCCCCTGGAGGAAATTACTATGAAAACCTCACAAGCCTATGCCGTCTGAGTTAAAATATATCAAGAGCAGTTTTTGCTATAACCCCAGTCCTGTTTGGGGCATGGAGGGGAGTTGGATCCAAGCATTATAAGGCTCATCAAATAAACCTAAAATGAGTTCAAGCACATCTGAGTTATTGTATCTCCCAGGGGACAGCATTACATCCCTGGAGAAGCCAGTGCAGCCAAGCCCAACAACATGTACTCAGTTTCTTTGTCAAGGCATGCTGTTAGCTGAAATGTTTTCAGGTTTAATAAATAGTCTTTAAATACTGAAAAGGTTTATTTTGGGATTGATGGTCCATTTTTAGAAGGACCGTTTATTTTACTTAGCTGTAATTTTGTCCGCTGGATATTCTACAAGAACTTGTTATTCTTTGCTTCCATGACGGCTATTTTATCCAGCTTCAAACACAACAAAAGTGCCTGGAATGGTCAAACCAGTTCATTTTTTATCACCGTTCCTCTTCAGTAGGTTGCTGGATGAGAGTTGCCAGCTCACGTGGAGACATGATGGGCTCCCGTCTCCTCCCCTATGCCAGGAAGACAGTGCATGTCCAAGAGACTTGGAAGCAAACAGAGACCTAAAATTCCCAGAAAGCAGCATCAGCCAGCAGACAACCCTCCAGAGAAGGGAAAATTCATTACCCCTTTCGGTGGTTCAGTTGTCTATACTGCTCAGGTAAGTGTCTTCTCCATTTTCCTTGCAGAGAAGACAGACATGTTCATAGGTTTCAGTTGAGGTACTGGCAAGGCGTGCCAAGCCTGTCAGAGTTCAAGGAGCATCTGGATGATGCTCTTAGTCATAGGATTTATTTTTAGGTAGTCCTGAGAGGAGCAGGGAGTTGGATTTGATGATTCTTATAGGACCGTTCCAACCTGAGATTCTCTATCATTCTGTGGTCTCTGATATTTTCTGTCACAGTCAAGTTACAGATGAGACTAAGCTGCAGAAGTTGGATATTTTCGTCCCCCTGGCTGATATTAACAGTCACCTAAGACTTACTGAAGCAGCAGGACAAATATGGTAAGTTCTGGATGTCTTGTGATGGTGCCTGTCAGACATGAATGAGTGACAGTCAGGTACAGAATTGTACAGCCATACGCATCCATGCACAGTTTTGCCAATGCAGAACAGGGCAGGGTCAGTGTATGCTGGTACTTCAGTGGTTCCTTTCTGCTCTTTCTGACTCTTCATGTACTTGAGTTTCTATTTCAACTGCTGTTGAAAAGGGCTGTATAGAATTCAGATCCCTCGGCATGCTGTGTAATAATTGGCAATGGAGTCCCACCCCAAAAGCTATTCTTCTAATGTTTGCGTGAAATCACCTAATTACTGCTCGTCAGTTTTACCTTTGGTTGGGTGAACCGCAATGATGGTGTGTCTCAGAGAGGTAGTGAGGGGATATACCGTGTGATAGGGTAAACAGGGCCACAAGCTGACTTGAGTTGGATGTGAGCACAAACTGATCTCTAAATTAATCCCAGCAGTGGTTCAGTGCTAGGGATGAGTGCTAGGCAGAGATTTTTCACAAGTAGGTGTTACGGGCTAGAGCACATACATCCTTTTAGTAGTCTCACTGGAAATTAGCGCTCTCCCTAGGCCTTCAATATTAATGACTAGGATAAAGAGGATGGAGCAGAAAAAATGCTCAATGCATACTCCTGTGCTTCCTCTTGATCTCTCAATGCCTCACAGCACTGAGACTGCTTTTTTCTGCTGCTCTCATATTCACACCAATCAGGTGCACTGTGTGCACAGCGAGTCACTTTGCTTCAGCCACTGTCAGCCAGAAGAAAATAAACTGTTGCAAAAGGGACTGGAAATGGGACCCCATCTCAATAATTGGCTCTACATCTAAATTTACAGAGCTTTCTCATTGTAAATTCATATTGAAAGAGTTTGGAACAGAGCACTAGGTCTGACTGTTAGGCCAGCTAATTCTAAATAGCTAGTCATCAAGGAGAGTCTATCAGAGACCAGCAGGAAAGAGATACTGGAATCTCCATAAAGGTCCCATCAGGACAGCAATCGATTTCTGATCCTCACAGTTATATTATAGATATGATAATTAAGTTTTAATTCCAATCTTTTGGGATGACTTTGGAAACCATCTCAGGTAAACATAGGGCTGAAACATCTACAGCAGCATACTTGTAGCTGCAGCGAGTCTGGCCGACTGCTTTTGAACTGGAATCCCCAACTCTCACTGGTGACCTTGCCAGCACCACTCTCACTTGTTAACAAGCTACAATGTCAGTGTCATGTCATGTGCACTTTTAGGAGAACCTGTTGGGACGGAGGAAGCAGCTTGGTTTCAGCTAGAACCAGATCAAAAAGTTGTGAAGTCATTCAACCTGTGTGTTATTTCCAGAGGGCAGTACCATAAATGCAATGCTGTTGAGCCATTGCCATTCTGTTAGCAGTAACTGGATATCCCATACGTTTCCCTTACCATCTGTCCTCCAAATACCCTAGTGTCTCACAGTGGACTGGTCCTTGCCGACTGGGATGTTTGTTTAATCATGGAGACCATATAGTGGCTGTGAATGATCTGCAACCCCAGGACGTGGAGGAGGCTTACTTCTTTATCAGCAGGTCCACAAGAAAGGAGGTAAGCTTGACTGACCTGAAGGTGATAGTCAAATGAACCAAGCCGAATGAGAAAGCAAGTTGCTTTTCACGTTTCAAGTGGCTCCATTCAAACCAGTTTACTCTGTTTTAAGTTTATCATAAATAACTTCAGTACGAAATAGCTCCTCAGCATCATTCTGATGTAGCATCTCTTATTCCTGGGCTATTTGGGGAATGCAAGGTCAGCACTGCTGTGCTTGAGAACTTGATCTCAAAGAGTCTGAGCAATCCCAAGACATATTACTGGGCAACTGTAGAGTTACTTGGTATTTTTTGGCTAAGGCCCACAAATTGTAAACTTTAGGAAATAAATGATGGCCTCCAGGGGATATGTAGTTGCTTATAGTGGTTCCAGGTATTGAGGGCAGAGCCCTAGACTCCTACCTCCTATTTGTTATCAAGTGCCATGCATCTCCTTGTGAGATACCACTTTTTTTTTAAGAATGTGAGAGATTTCTAAGTGGTGGCTTAACACCACTGTCATCTACTACATGTTGATACCTATATTTCTCACATATTTCAGTATCCAGGTTCTCTGACCCGTACCTGAACACATTCATATTTGAATTTTGCTGAGAAAGTTGAGGTCATCAGATGCTGTTGCCATCTAAAGAAAAGAAAACCAGTCTCAGCAAGGAAAAATACTAATCTCTTTTAATAGGGCATTTTTATTTAGCTAGTTAAAATACAAGCCAGATAGATAGTAGCACAAATGTTGATGAGATATAAGAAGCTATAAAAACACCTTTTTTTTTCCTTCTTAAGGTGAAACTTACTGTGTGTAGGATTCCACATTCAGATATCTTCCATGTTAAAGGCTGCTCATGTTCCTGAAAAAAAAAAGACCTCAATGATTAAGTAAGTGCTGAAGTTCAAGGGAAAATATCAGGGAGAAGAATGTGATATATAGTGTATGGAGGTAATCTTTATCCTCTAGAGCTGCCAGGAATCTTTTGTTGCTGCAGTACAAAGAATAGAGAATGTGGATTTCATTTTCATTTTATGTCCTAATAACTTGTTTTGTTGATATGAATGGCGTGTGTTTGGCTTGTATTTCATGTTGGCATGTATTTCAGTTACATGAAAAAAAATGAGGGTCAAATAGTTTCTGAAATCTTTACACTATGTATACTTTGTACTTCAGCAGAAATTACTGGTTCACACCTCTGCTCACCTCTTTACACAGAGTTACATTGATTTATACTGAACTCCTAATCAGTTAGAGGTGTGGAAACAACCTACATTTGGAGCAAAGCCATGCTTTCCCCTGTTTCCCCTTAGCCACAGAAAGGCAAAGGAAAGCTGAGAGCTGTAGTGTTGGAAGGTAGGCTGGTAAATAAAATGTTGTGTAGTGATTCAGTGGGGCCTCCTTTTGTGTTATGCCCCTCTTAGGTTACAGCCACAAAAAGACATTCAAGGGATGACAGGAAAAAGAGCTGGTTGGAGAAAAGGAATGTGTCTGGAGCACCTTTGTGTTCATTGGCAGCCAAAACAAGCCCTAAGTGAAGAATGAATGAATGGATTTGGGAGAGAGGAGGGCTGGCCTGCTCTGTGAAAGCGTTACTGGTAAAGGCAGCTGGGAAAACCAGAGAGAGACATGATGTATACGAGGGCATGTGTGCTCAGCCCAATGCAAACATAGTCCCCTGAAAGAGTTTTGGTGCTATCAAATGGTACCACAGCATTTCCAGAGCAAATGCTCATTTGTTTCCCAAACAAGGACATTTCCTGTAAATATTTATTTGTGAATATGTCTTGCTTCCATTGCTATCATAGAAACATGGCTGATTTTCAGCTAATATCACACCAAAAGGTATTGTTGCTTGATACAAAACTGCCTGCAGGGGTGCCTTTAGTGGATGCCAAAAGGGAGCTTTGTCCTGTGCTACAGTGACCTCTGTTGCATACAGAAACACGGTGTGATACCATGGGTACACAGAACACATTCCTGTTCTCTACATGAATATGTACACATTTGTATATATGTGTTTGTGTGCAGCTGTATTTACATACACATATATTGCTGGAAGATAGATTGTATTGGTATACAATGATGTGTCAACAAACCAAATCAGTGGTTTTGAGTACAGACAATGTTGTCTTGCCAGGTACAACCAAAATAACTACTGGGTTTAGCAGGCATAGGATTCTCGATATTAAGAGATTTGTATAAGCTTTGATTAAGGTGGATTTGGCCCAAAGAAGATATTAGTCCAGCTTCCAACTGAATTAGGCCAAGCCAGCTACTACAGTAAGAATCTGCACTCACTAAAATCAGTGTTGGTGCCCCTTACTCCAGTAGTAAATTTGACAAATGTGTTTTGTATACTTCCTTTAAAATCCAGTCTGTACTTTTTAAAACATTATAAAAATTGATTTAGCCAGAGATGAAAAAGCATCAGCAACTCAAAACGAACACACACAAGTATTTATACAATCTATTCAGACTCAGCTCCTATTCAAAAGATTAATTTCCAGACTGAATATTTCCACAGCCTGTCTCTTCTGCTTTTGAGATAAGAGTGGTTGGGACATGTTTATTTCTCAAGGTGGGAAAGGATCACTTTTTGGTATTTCTGTTTCAGTGGTGTTCAAAGGCCTGTTTGTGCTGAATTCTGCATAATGACAGAGGGAAACCCCAGTTCTGGAACTACAGAGGATGAAAATGGAAGACAAGATATTCCTTGGGAGCTCTTCTCCAAAGCTGCTGTGGGACTCCTTTGCACTGCCTCTTTGAGCACAACAAATCCATTTCTGCCTAAGGAGGCTCTGAGGGACAGGATGGCCAGCTACCACCATACAGGGCTTCTTCCAGCTCTGTAACTGTGTCAGTCTGCTAGAACAGTCCTCTAGGCCTGAATCCTGAAATCACAGATCACCTAGTTCAAGAGTATCCACCAAGGATGTCATCCTCGACCTTTCCTGCCCACGGTTTGCCTAAGCTCTTCTCCTGAACTTTAGAAAAGGGAAGTCTAAACCTTCCTGTGTTGTTCCAAGACTCATCTCTCTGTATAATTAGGAAGTTTTTTCCTAGTCTTTATCCTAGATGATTTTTTCAGAAAATGAACCTGATTTTCTCTTGCCCTGTTTTCAGTAGGCATTGGGAATGCTTGATTTCCACTGTCTCCAGAGAAATCTTCATTCTGGAAGGTGTTTTTTCTGCCTGTTCTCCCTTCCTTTTTTTTTTTTTTTTTTTTTTTTAGATCAAACATCCTGCATTCTTTCAATATTTTTTCAAATATTTCCTGAAAGTGGTCATATGTCTCTGAACTGCAAGACAAATAACTTGTGTTTCCAGTTAAGGGTGAACAAAGGAGGTGAGACAGCCGTGAAGACATTTCCTGGAACTTCATAGAGAAACATTTCCAGAAAGAGGTGAACTAGCAAAAAGGCTGTGAACCTTAGATGGTGGTGGGAGGAGAGCCACCACCATGGAACCTGCACACAGCATTGCTGCTGAAGCAGCTGTTGAGCAATGCATGCTGCACCTCTTGGCCATGGACGGATGTTACTTTTGGACAAAAATAGGATTTGAGTAGATATAGCATGCACAGGATAATTACAGAATATTTCAGAAAACTGGGGGATTACTTCTGTACTTCAGTAAATAGTTAGTGATGTGTTACCCCATAATTGATCATTATGTCAGTTTGCACAATGATAAATGCAGATAATTAATGTCACCTACTGGCTGATTCATAACACTTACATAATTACAATACGGAAATGACATTGATACAGTAAATTCTGGTAAGGTGTGTGAAGTTGTCTGCCCACATACGATTAATAAATGTATTAACACTTTACAACATGTTGTATTCTGCAAATACCTCACTTTCTCCTCACACAGCCCCTCCTCGTCCTCCAAAGACTACCTGTGACTTCCAGGTAACCTGCAGCTGAGTCACCAAACCGCCCTTTTGAAAAACGCCACTCTTAAAAAACCAAGATCAACCTCATTCTCTAACATTTTTTTCCCAATGTGAAAATTCTACCTTTCTTCAAATGAGCAAATTAGGCTAAATCTCTGGGCTGCTTCTAGAAGCAACAGCAAAGGGAAATGCCTATACGCATGGTATTACTCAGTGCTTGCTTTTAGTCCTGGAAGACCTGAAGCGAATGTCTTTAAACCCATGGCATCTGAGGGGTAACTGGTAATTTTCTTAGATCATTTATAGGCATTTTAAATGTGTCATGTAAGCGCACACTCTTAAAGAAATAGGTGATATTGTAGCTTCTTGTCGCAGCACACTCTGTGGTGTCAAAATCTTTTCATAGCTGGTCTCCAGGTAGGTTTTGGGCTATGGAGGGTTCCTGACAGAGATGTGTAAATTGCCATGAGCTGAAATTCAGTGAATCCACAGACTAGCGAACCTATGTAAAACACAGCTGGAAGAAGGCTGCAGATCCTCACACCTTTTTGCACTACTGACCCCACGAAGTAACGTGCTTGGAAGCAGGGGCCATTGCTGGCTGCCTCACACGACACTTGGAATCACTCAGCATCTGCAAACAGGGTGAACAAGAGAGACAAAACCCAACCAACTGAAACACAGATTACGTGATCAGCTAACAATTAACATCCTCCTCACTATTTTATTTCCTGTCATTGAATACAGCCAGTGCCTTTAGGTTGTTTCGCTGGCTATTAATCCATGGCGCAGTCCCATGCTGCACTCACTCTCTAGTGGCTGATGGTTTTCCCCCCTGAATTCCCAAATATGAATCATGCTTTTTCTACCATTCTAGTACCCTTCTCCAGCAGGAAAATGGCAATTGTCCAGGAGAAAAGCAAGTCCTGGAACAGAGAGAAAGTAATGGTAAGAGAAGTCTCCAAATTGGTGTGAGGTCACTGAAGTTAAGGTAAATAAAAAGCCCGTTCTACAGCAAGCGCAAACCAGACCACACAACCCCACACTTCCTCTCAAGGGCAACGCTACCGAGAACTGGGGTTGGAGTCACACCCTCACCAAGAGAGGACAAGTCCTGCAGGAGAACGAGTCCAGCCGGGAAAGGCGGTCTGTGCTGCCTGCATCCATCCTGAACTGAGCCAGAGACAAGCTCTGTGTAGTGCAGCACCTGTCCGCAACGCGGTATCTAGGGTCCCTCCAACCTGGGGTACCCAACCAGTCATGCTTCAATGTGGCTGCACTTTCAGCAAGTGGAGTCAATAGAGGAGCAGCTGCAGTAAAGGGGAGCGATGTCAGCTTGCAGACAGCAGGGAGAGTGGATCAGTGGTGAGCTGGGGACACCAGGTGCTCCACCTACATTTTGCCTCAAATTTTCTGGTGACCTCAGGAGGTCATTTCCTTGCACACATTCGGTAAAATTCAAGAAGTGATTTCAGACACGTTTGCATCATGCTGTCTCTTACTGCAAATGCAGCCTCCGGCATCACATTCAATATTTTTGATTGCTTTCCCTCCCACAACATCTGCTGGGAACACCTCCATCAGACCTGTACGCTACAGGCGCGAGGGCTGGTTCGTCAGTGCCCCATGGTACGGAAAGATGATGATGTGCCCATCAGTGCTATGGGAGAAGCTGTCTTTAATGTTTTGCAGAAACATGGCTTACCCTCAGTTGCCCGTCAGACAGCACTATCATGAGCCAACATTAGGTGATGATCCCGCTTCCCTGCAGGGAACGGGCTCACCCCAGTTGTGTGCTGCTTACAGAGAGCTGCACCGAGCAGGGGTTATGGAAAAGTCAGTCAAATGGATTCACCCAGTACTTCAGGCCCCATGAGGGGACACACTAATTTCACAAGGATACTTTCTTGCTGCTGCTCCATTTGTCAGTGCAGGGCTAGAAAGAGAGTGTACTGAATCTCA